TGAGTTACACAGACCTTTCCTTCCTTAATTCTAGGTGTTGAGTATTTTGTTCCAGCAAGGAGGGAAAAATAACCAAGGCAAAACTCGTGAACATTTTCCAGATCATTTAGGGTTTCTCAATGAATTTTAAAAAGGTCTTTTGTTGTCTATTGTATAACTATAAACCTTTCCATCTAATGACCTGACAGTGTTGGGTATTTTGATGCTTTCACTGTGATAAGTATAATGCTTTTCTAAATCCTGGCTGAATAAGATAGGAAAATATGTCATGAACACATGAAGACAGGGAGATTTTTCCAAAGAAATGAAACAACTTTCATCTACCCAGTGAAATCCTGAGATTAACAAATAAAGAAACTTGTATTACATTTTTGTAAAATACCCAGGAGCCTAGATGCTTAATTGAATTTAACCAAAGTAATTCCAGTGCAATGGGGACCTGCTGGTATCTGAAATCTCTCACTATTATATTAGGATATGAAAGTGAAAAAAAAGGCATCTTTGTCAAAATTTTGGTGGCTTCATTTCTTAACCAAGCAACAAATATGTCAAATACAACTTAAAATACAGTATTTTGTCTATTAATGGTAGCTATCCACTGTTGAGAGGACAAAAAGAAAAAAATTCAAGGGAAAAAGAAAGGGTCGCTTCCCAAACCTTGATCTTGGCACACTTACAGTACTTATACTTGTGCAAATAATTTGTCTTTCTCTAGCACTCTGCAGAGTAGACATCTGTTTTGAGATTTATCTGTTGGAGGAAAATGATGACTAATTTGGCAGCCAAAATACCATAAACTAATAGGAATTAGATTAGTACTAACAGAAATTAGAGTGGGGAATATAGCATGGGAAATAAAAGAAAGCTTTTACTTCAGTATTGTGTGCAGTGGGGTAGAAAAGGCTTTATACAGCCTGTAGATGCAAATTAAAATAATATACATTATTATGTTCAAAAAATTGAAAGGATGAAAATATTATTTGTAGGCAAGGATTTGAGAAATTGAAACTCTCACAAAATGCTGTGGAAGCATAGAGCAGTTATGTAATGTCTTGTAAAACTAAAAGTATACATGTCCTACAGTGGATCCTAGGGAAGATCTGACCTGTGGAAAGAAAGAACTTGTGATTCTATTAAACATAGAGAAACACTGGAAGCAACCTGTGTATCTGTCAGCAAAAGAATAGAGTAGTAAATTTTGGAATAATTATCGAGGACTATTATTCTGTATAGCAGTGAAAATAAATAAGCCAAACAATGAAATGATCTGAGTCAACACAGGTAAGCTTCTAAAATGTAACGCTGAATGATCAAAGCAAGATACGAAAATATACACAAAATATGACCCCAGTCTTATGAATTTGCACACAAAAAAGCAATAAACATTATTATATATATCTATGGGGTATAAATATAGAAAAATCATGGGAATGAAAATATTAAATTGAAAGCAGTGCTTAATGCTAGAGAAAGAGAAAAGCGGAGGAAGAATTGAGCGGAGGGTGGTACATAAATAGCTTAAATATTATCTTTAGTATTTCTTATGAAAAACCAGACAAATCATGAGAAAATATGAACATTTTTAACAAATTCATATGATAAGCACATGCTTATTTATTTTATCTAAGTACTTTTCTCTGCACTTGACGAATTTTTTTTAATATCCTGCTATTCTAAGATGTGAAGTTTCAGTGTGATTTCTTACTTAGCCAAAGCTAACTGATACAAAGTTCTTAAATAGACAAACAAAGATAGGATAAAAGGCAGATTCAGAAGATAAATAATCTTGGATAGAAGAAATATGTACGTGTGTGTGTGTTCACACGTGTGTATGTACGTGTGTATATGGAGAATATATGTAGTTACATAATTACACAGAAATATTTATATTTGAATACTCCTACATACCCAGAGCCAGAAAAAAGAAATAAAACTCTGAAACTGAGACTACTTAATCTAAAATCATGTCATTATTCATTTCTGGCTGAGTTATCGAGATACATCTTATTCATCTGTGAAATCTTTACCTTATAAGGTTGTGGAAAAATTCAGAAATGCATAATATGCAAGGACTTAATCCAGGATACATACTAAATATCAGGTAAATATGTACCTGACTGAATGAATATAGGGCAAAATTATGAATATAGCATAAATGGACAAAATAGAGAAAATTTACATGAGTTAACAATCATCAGGAATATAGGGATAGGGTATGTTCAGAGAATGACACATAGAGCAATAAGAATTTTCAAAGAGGAAATGAATGTTAATATTTTAAGAAAGTGGTTAAAGAAGACCCTATTTAAAAGAATAATGGTAATGGTCCAACTGAGTCAAAAAGAACAAAGCTATGGGAGACTTGGTACAGTTCCAATTATCTGTCAATTCTCGGGAGCTTAGGAGTGGAATTGAGAACAACAAATAGTAGGATAGATGTGCCACAGAGGATTTAGCAGATGAAAAAAGAGTGATCAGCTCTAGGGAGCTGGTTTGAGTGCCTAGAATAGTGACCATGGCACTTGAGCTGGTCTGGAGGCACGAGAGCCCAATACAGGGACTGGGTGACAAAGAGGTGAGAGCTTGGGGCCAAAGGGTGAAGATCAGGAGTCTTGCAGATAACACCTGAAATCAGGAAGCTGTAGATCTCTTAGTGGATAGCATCAGTATGTCCTTAGTGACTCCCTCCCATGCATAAAGTGAAAGGCCCTCTCATGCTATGATGTGTAGTTTTCTTCCAAGAAGCCTTATTTCTTTCCAGTGGTTAAGAAACTCCAACCATTTAAAAGAGAGGAGGCAATTGAGGGCATAGTTGCACTAAGAAGTACAGACAGAACTGTCCTGTATCAAACCACTGAAGAGCCTTTGGAAAGAGTAATGGGTTTAATATCCAGTCCATCTTGGTGCCTTTCCTCTAAGATACTATGTTTATGGGATCATCAGTCTCAGGCACTCAAAAACTTTTCTGCAAATGACTGTTATTTTCCTCTCTTGTTAGGGCAACAAATGACTGGAGTTTCTCTAGTGCTCTAGAGTTTTTCTAGTGCTATGTAGCATTGCCTGATCTCCTGTTTGAAACTTGTGAACTCTGATCTCTCATTTCTGCATTCTTAAGTTTGACCCATCTCTCAGCCCAGCACTGTGCAATCTCTTTCTTCCTAGAGTTCATCTGCCACTTAACATATGCTTTTTCCCCCCTAATTTCTTTGAAACCATGAATCAATCTTTTTTGAAGCTACATAAGGATTTAAAGAATACCTAATCCAATTACTTCATTATGCTAATAAGAAAAATACAGCCCAGAAACTCATTTGGTAAGTGATATAACCAAGATTCGACTACAGAGATCCTTCATCATTATTTGGTAACCTTTCCACAATGCTATGTATATGTATTCCCTAAGAAAATGTTTCTTCAGGACAGAGACTAGTTAGATTGAATCTATGTATGTTGGGCCCTTAAACAAATATTCACCCATAGTCATATAGTATGCTATCAAATCACATACAACACACGAAAGAGGTGTAAATGCTTATGTAGACAGTTTTGTAGTTTTTAAAGTTACAAATGTTTAGACATATAAAGTTAGAAAGTTTCCATTTATCATTTAAGATAATTAAGTATTTCAGTTTTTGTTACTACAAGCAAAATGAAGCTGATGAGTCTTAGATTTGTTCCTTTAATTCATTGTCAAGTCTATTCTGGTTTAGCATTTATGCAAGCCAGTTCTGACCAAGATAGGTTACAGATATTTTTTTGAATCCCAGAAGAGAAAAATTCTACCATGAAGTCCTTTGGCTACATAGAAGTTGTTCACTATGTGGATACTGATTTTAATTTCATTTCACAAAAAAGCACCAGAGAGTCAATTTAATAAACAAAAATGTCACAGTGTAACAGTTATCAGTGTTTCCCTGTGCTTTCTCCCTACCATACTCAGAAGAGTTTGGACATCCTTGCCTGCAGCTTTTTCTAACCACTCCCCCCACCCAGTGGATGCCCTTTCTCCCTTATATCAACACATTTCTCTCACTCCTGCCATTCTTCTGGTGCTCTCCCTGCAGGTGTTAGCGCAGCAGAGCACAGTCTGGAGAAGGTATCAGCAAAGAAAAACCCTGAGGAAGAACAGGGAAACTGGCTCTTGATAACTGATTATTTCCCACTTGCTATGGAGAAGAGTAGAGGTGGGGAAGCTTGTGGGTAACTCCACCCCATCACCAGAACTACCAAGGAATGTTGTCATGGAAACTTCTGGAAGTTTCTGGTGCCATTTTTACACAGTTACAACCTGTTTTTCCAAACTTGGTTCATACTGATACTTTGTAATCCAAAGAAAGATAACCCCATAAAAGGCAAAAACACACAACTGAACTTAATTTGGCCACATGAATGGGAAATAACAAAGCAAAAGCAACTATAAGGTCACATATTGGGAGCTGAACCAATACAGTTAACAGAAGTGACCAGCTTTGCCTGTTAAGAATGTTATTATAAAAGAAAATCTAAGTCAAGATTACCTAAGACATAAGATATGTGTCTTTTCACTCCTCACCGTACACAACTCTGAATTCTTTGAAATTCTTGGTACACAGCCTGCCTTTCCCATCTAACTATTCCACCTGTGACTGTGTTAAGAAGAAATTTCCTGGGCTAGGTCAATCAAAGCTCACTGTGACCACTATCACAGATTGTTACTCTACAAGCTTATTTCAAGGTGGCTTTGCAATCTCAGCAGACAAAGCCTTAGAGTCATTCTTCCCCCTGTGCTTGGTTGGGAAGTGCCAGCCATGTGGCCTCTTTCCTGCTCTCCACCTCAGCTTTCCTCTTCTCTTTTCTTGGCTCGTATCAGAGAAATGACAAACACCATCTTCTTACTTGGTCAGTTCTACAAAGTCAGTTGCCTTAATTCCACCCACAGGAGCATACTATCTAAAGAAAACACATTTATTTGTTTAAAAATATAATCTGAAAGCAGTATTTTCACAGAAAAATACTCTCACCCTCTCGGTGCTGGTCTGCGGTGCATTTTCTTCCAGACTTGTTTCTTTCCGAATGACTACATCTTCTGCTGGCATTTCTCTGAATGTGTACACAAGACTCCTTTTCAACTCAGAAAAGCTACCTGATGCTGCAGGCAGCTTCCTGTTGGCCTCAGGTTTTGCAGAATGCACGCTTGGTGTGCAGAAGGTGGGCAAGGTGTCTGAAAAAACAGGAAGCAGCTGTGAATGTGTGATTTACTCCTGGAAGAAGCGCACTTAGAGATGTCTATAGATGCTCCTGCTGCTCATCTATGAGCATGTGGCAAGGCAATCAAGTACTTTTAAAGCCCCCAAACCAGCTTCTGAATGGTAGGGTTATTTGGAAAATCTAATACATACAAAGGCATGGTTGAAATCCATGGCTTTTCTATTTTTTAAAAATATTTTATTTAAAAGGAAAAAGAGAAAAAAAAGCAGAACAAAACAAAACAGTGTAAGGGTACAAGTAATTCAGAACTACAGAAAACCAAAAAACAAAAAACAGTAAGCTATCACCAGTTAACACATTACTCGCTATCATCTTAGAAACGGTGTTTCAGGTCACAGGATCAAAGCACACAAAACGAACATTCAAACAGTGAGACTGCAAACAGTTGTGTTCGGTAATCCAATCCAAAATATTAATATGGTCTTCTATGTAACACACCTAAACACCCTTGCTGTTGTATCCTTCAGGGCACTTTTCTTTCCATCTCTTTATTACAACAAAATTTACACATTTTGGGCTTTATTGCTCCCTTAGATCTTATTACTTTTTTTGTAAGAGAATAAAATCAAGCATGATAAAACAAAGCTGTCAGTCAAAACCAAGGATAGACATAGCACATGATGTAAAAACAGAGTACAAGGTTATCAACAATGGTTACCATAATGCCCCTTGCATCCTTAAGAAGAATTGTCTATCTCTTTAGGTATTATAAAGTTAAACAAAACAGTAGAGAACAAGACCAATAAAACCTAAACTTTGTAAATCTTACAGCACCTCAAAAGAGGATAATAGTCAAACCAGAATGGGCATCATAGTGAGTCTTATTGCCTTCAAAGTAGTTGTCTATACTCTGATACTTGATACTTTAATACAGAGTAGAATAGAGTCTAATCAGTCAAAACAAGATTTCAGGGGTATTACAGGACTTCAAGTTGATAGGAAACCAAAAAAGTTACTATAATACATCGTGCTAGATTTTTAATTTTTTCCCCTTAGTTTAAAAAATAAATTTAAAAAATTAAATAATTTTTTAATGAATAAGGGAGAGGATGAGATAAAAGGGGGCATAACAACATAACAATACAGGTTAAAGCATGACACTTTCAGCAACCTAGTGCGTCACCACCAAATAACCCGACTTAATAGTAGTTACCATAGTGTCTTTTTCTTTGAAATATTTGAATATAACTTCATATGCTATAGCATCAAACATATCAAGACTGTGTAACACCATTCAAGTGGATGAAAGCTTTGTAGAGTATTTAGAACCAGCTAACAGAAAAAATGATCAATGGTTTCTATATTATGTCTTTGCCTATAACAATTTTTGTTTATACTACCACATACCATAAAATCCAGCAAGATACAACATGATAAAATCAATGGAGACAGAAGAGCCATAGTTTGGTGCGGCTTTAAGACAAGATGGTATTAAATCAGCACTAGCTATTATGATGTCTTGTTTTCTTCAAAATAGCTGTTCATTGCATCACAGGCCATAATATCAAACAGCCCAGAATAAAGCCATTCCAATTAATGAGTGAAAACTTTATAAGGCTTCAAGGCCCCATAATGGGGAATCATGGTTATCACATACTTTTATATATTTGAATCATTTCCTACACTAGGGAAACTATTTGGTGTTCACAGATGCGAGTTTGATTTAGTTCACTTATGAGTATAGTTTCAAGCTGCGCCCGCTTATTGATAAATACCTCAATGTGATCCTTCTTTATAGCTGAGTAGTACTCCATTGTATAGAAATACCACAGCTTTGTTATCCATTCCTCAGTTGATGGACATTTGGGTTGTTTCCAAGATCTGGCAATTACAAATTGTGCTGCTATAAACATAGGTGCGCATGTATCACTGTGGTATGATGCTTTCAGTTCTTCTGGGAATATGCCTAGAAGTGGAATAGCTGGAACAAATGGGACTTCCAATCCTAGCTTTTTGAGAAATCTCCAGACTGACCTCCACAAAGGCTGTACCAGTCTACACTCCCAGGAACAGTGTAGGAGAGTTCCTTTTTCCCCACAGCCTCTCCAGCATTTGTTGTTGTTGGCTTTCTTGATCCTTGGCATTCTTTCAGGAGTGAGATGGAATCTCAGTGTGGTTTTAACTTGCATTTCCTTAATAATCAATGATGATGAACATTTTTTCATGTATTTATTTGCCATTTGTATTTCTTCCTCTGAGAAGTGTGTTTTCATCTCGGATGCCAGTTTTTGGATTGGGTCTTTGAAGTTTGGGGGTCTGATTTTTTTTTAATTCTTTATATGTTTTAGACAAAAGTCCTTTGTCTGAGGGGGAGTTCACTAAGATCTTTTCCCAATTTGTGGGTTTTCTTTTCACTATGCTGGAGATTTATTTTTGACTTACAGAAACTTTTTAATAAGAGGTGGTCCCAGTTATTGATTCTGGGAAGTATTTCCTGTGAAATTTGAGTCCTGTTCATGAATTCTCTACCTACCCCTATGTCTTCAAGGTTTCTACCTAATTTGTCTTCCAATAGTTTTAGTGTTTCTGTTTTAATATTCAGATCTTTGATCCATTTAGATTTTAATTTAGTACATGGTGATAGGCTTGGGTCGAGTTTTAGTTTTCGGCAAATGGAGAGCCAGTTTTTCCAACACCATTTATTAAAAAGACTGTCGTTTTTCCAGTGAATCTGCTTGGCTCCTTTATCAAAGATAAGGTGGTTGAGTGTGTTTGTAGTTGTGGTTGTATCTTCTAATCTATTCCATTGATCCTCTGCTCTGTTTTGATTCCAGTACCATGTTGATTTTACTACTGTTGCTTTGCAGTATAACTTCAAGTCAGGGATTGTGATGCCTGCAGCCTTGCCTTTGCTGCTTAGAATTGCCTTTGATATTCTAGGTCTCTTCTGGTTCCAGAGGAACCTTAGGAGTGATTTCTTTAGATCTATAAGGTATGTTGATAGTATTTTTATTGGGATTTCATTGAATCTGTATAACAGTTTTGGGAGAATGGCCATTTTCATAATGTTTATTCTTCCTATCCATGAACATGGGATGTCTTCTCATTTTCTGAGATCATCTTCAACTTCTTCTTTAAGTGTATTATAATTTTCCCTGTATAGGTCTTTCACTTCTTTTGTAAGAATAATTCCTAAATATTTCATTTTTTTGCTTGCTAGTGTGAAGAGTGTGACTTCTCTTATTTCTCTTTCTGTGATTTTGTTGTTAGTGTATAAAAATGCTCTTGATTTCTGAGTATTGATTTTGTACCCAGCTACATTACTGAATTTATTTATTGTATCTAAGAGTCTTTTAATGGAGTTTAGGGGGTCTTCTATGTAGAGTATCATGTCATCTGAAAACAATGACAATTTAACTTCTTCTTTTCCTAACTTTACCCCTTTTATTTTTCTCTCTTGTCTAATTGCTCTGGCTAGTACTTCCAGTAGTATATTAAATAGGACAGGTGATGAAGGACACCTGTGTTGTGCCTGATTTTAAAGTAAAGGCTTTCAACTTTTGGCCAATTAGTATGATACTGGCTGTTGGTTTGTCATAGACAGCCTTTATTATATTGAGGTAAAGACCATCTATTCCAATTTTCTGTAAAGTTCTTATCATGCATGAATGTTGGACCTTATCGAAGGCTTTTTCTGCATCTATGGAAATGATCATGTGATTCTTATTTTTGGCTTTATTGATATGGTGGATTACGTTTATTGATTTACATATGTTGAACCATCCCTGCATGCCTGGGATGAATTCCACTTGGTCATGGTGTATAATCTTCTTGATGATTTGCTGCATCCTATTTGCCAATATTTTATTGAGGATTTTTGCATCTGTGTTCATTAGGGAGATTGGTCTGTAGTTCTCTTTTTCAGTTGGGTGCTTCTCAGGTTTTGGTACTAGAGTAATATTTGCTTCCAGGAATGACTTGGGAAGGATTACTTCCCTTTCAATTTCATTGACGAGTTTGAGGAGTGTTGGTATTAGGTTTTCTTTGTATTTGTTGTAGAATTCTGCAGTGAATCCGTCTGGGCCTAGGCTCTTCTTTGTAGGTAAGGAATTAATTACATGTTCAATTTCATTGATAGAGATTGGGTTATTCAGCAGTTTTACATCCTCTTGATCTAGCTTTGGTACTTCATATGTTTCTAAGAATCTGTCTATTTCTTCTGTGTTATCAAACCTTTGAGAGTAGAGGTTTTCGAAATAGGTGTTGATGATCTTCTGTATCTCTATTGAGTCTGTAGTGATTTCACCTTTTTGATTTCTTATTGCATGGATTTGAGCTTTCTTCCCTTTTTTAATAAGTTTGGCTAGGGGCTTATCGATTTTATTTATTCTTTCAAAGAACCAACTTTTTGATTCGTTGATTCTTTGGATTGTTTTCTTAGTCTCTATTGCATTGATTTCTGCTCTGATTTTTATAATTTCCTCTCTTCTTTTGGCTTTGGGCTTGACTTGCTCTTCTTTTTCTAGATGTTTGATTGTAGCATCATGTTGTTTATTTGTATTCGTTCTGTTTACCTGATGTGGGAACTCAGTGCAATAAATTTTCCTCTGAGGACGGCTTTCATTGCATCCCTTAGATTCCAGTAAGTTGTATCTGTATTTTCATTTGCTTGTAGGTATTGCTTAATTTCTTTTTTAATTTCCTCTGTGACCCACTGATTACTCAGGAGTGTGTTATTCAGTTTCTATATGTTTGTGTGATTTTTGCAGTATCTTTAATTGTTAATTACTAATTTCATGGCGCTATGGTCTGATAGCATGCAAGGGATAATTTCAACTCTTTTGCATTTATTTAAATATGTTCTGTGAGTTAATATATGGTCTGTTTTAGAGGATTACCCATGTACTGCTGAGAAGAATGTGTATTCTGTTGCTGTTGGGTGGAATACTCTGTATATGTCTATTAAGTCCATTTGTTCACAGGTGCAATTCAGTTCTTTTATTTCTTTGTTGA